TTTAATTTTTAGCCCTATAAAATTCCTTTTGAATTCCTGACATCTAGATCTGTAAAATAATGTTTGTATTTTAAGCCACTAAGTTTATGATAATTTGTTACAGCAGCAATAGAACATTAAATCCATACCTCTGTGTACCTTTACTTTATACAGGGAAAGCCACACTTATTTTCTACTTCATAGTTGCATTCCCATATCCCGGTGATAAAATACGGTAGGCGAAAGCATATATGGAAAAAAAGGGTGAAATGGTGGGTGGCTTGTAAGTTCAGTTAAGATGAAAGCATGTTGTGGAGTTTAAATTGTGTCTTTTGTGGAAGACCTAGTGTTTTCCACAGCCTCTTTATGTTCAAGATAACTATAGAACTGAGTGAGAATATAAAGCCTAACAGTTTTCTTAAAAGTCTAGAGGTGTTGAATTTATATCTTGAGTATTTATGCATAAAAGAGAATCCTGCCCAGTGACTTCTGCACTTGATTTGCTAACTCTGAGAGCATGGCTGATTTGAGCCAGGGCTTTCTGTTTCTTCACATGTCATATCCACCACTGCTATGTTACTAGCCTCTAATATCATCCCAGAATTTATACAGAATGTTCAACCCAAGTTTCCCCAATACCTTTTCTATTCCAGATGCTGCCTGGACTTTGCCTATAGAAAAAAAATAGATTCACCAGAGTTTCTGTTGACATTGTATGGAGTGGTGCTAAGATCCCATTCCTAATGGGAGACAGTGCTAAGCTACTTTCAGATCTTCCCAGAGACACAGAGATGTAAATTATCAGCAGGACTAGTAGTGGCCCCAATTCATTTGAAAGAAAATGAGTCCCATTTCCAGAGAAAATAGAAACGCCAAAGAATTTCAGTCTTAAAGACCACATATGTGGAGCAGTCTTCACTTTCTAGGTTTTGTTTATGATTTATTAATGCACCATATTTTTGCTTTTACTTTGTTTTGCTCTCCTGTGTCTATTTGGAGTGTTCATAGCAGACAATTGAGGAGAAGTTCACTTGAAGTGCAAGGGTCTGCGAGTATGTGTTGAGAGTGATAAGAAGGAGGAGGTGGAGGGAAATAACATGTAAAATGACAATTCCCGAAGGAGATTCTGTTCCTTAAAAGCATATCCACTCTTTCACCTTTCAAGCTAAGAATTATAAAAACATGCTTCTGTTACCTAAGTAACCTGATACTTATCCTTACTTACAATTTTCTTTTTTTACATTCTTCATCCCATTACAAATAGACCTCCAGTGAAACACACCATATAAATATATGGTCACCCCACATTTATACCTCTGCCAATTCTTCCCTCACATATAAACTTTAGGAAGTTCCACTCCAAATAGTTTTCAAATCCAAGCTGCCACTTTGATTTCATCAAATCAAGGCCTTGTTGAGATCAAACCCTCGAAATGAGAAAAGATTTTTAATCCATTTACACCAGCTGGGGTCTAACTCTTGCAGTCCTGAGAGCTACAGGATTAGGATTTCTCAAACCCTTTCCATACTTCTACCTCCCACATACCCGGCATATTTTACAGCTACTTTAATCAAACTGTATCAGCACTTGCATTTGAACCAAATCAGGATAAAAAGGTTCCTTATAAGCCAGGATTATTGTAACTGTTGGTGTACGGTAGTGACAAAATGTAGTATTTCCCTACAAGGATCAGCAAATAAAAATGAAAATAAAACTTAATTGAAAATAAGCTTGAAGTTAAGTCTTTTTAGTAAGGGACAAGAAAAATCAGAAAATGGCTGAGACTGTAACTGAGGGATATTTTTATAATAAGCTAGAAGCATCTTTGTGCAGGATGGATGAATGAAAATGACAAGCTCCTTCAACCATACATACTGACATTCTGAATTTTAAAAATTATTGTCTACAATTATTCTTGTTTTAAAGTGTCATAAAAAACTCTTCTGATAGAATCTGCCTTCCGTTTTACTTACTTACAAATGGCACTTTAAAGAATTATTAAATTTCTTGTAGCTGTGACTTACTCTGCAAAGTTACTTCCCTTTTTTTCTACTGGCATTTGCCAGAAAACAGAGATTGTATTTTACCTTCCCAGTTCAAATTGTAACATAAGGTAATTTGTGAAGTTGTGTGCTACACAAACAAAGCTGGAAAATCTACTAGGAATAAAATCCACAGGCACAAGGAAGGTGTAGTTGTGGGCGGATGGCATCAGACCCATTCAGAATTTATGTGACAAGCACATGTGTCTCTCCAGAGTCTGCTTTGTGACTCCAACATGTGATCAAGGCACTACCTGTAAGAAGGAACCCTGCAAGTGATGAAGGCCATTGGTTGTATGTGGCATTTACAGCTGGAGGTCCTCCAATATCAGCTCGAGGTGAAACAAATGTATGCAAGATTTTTTTAAAGTTTTGTTAATGCTTTAGGATTAACAGGTTCGAGTTTATACCAGGTAGCATGTTAACAATATTATAACTTAGAAATACAGAACCTTGATATTTGCTGGGTAACAAATGAGAAACAACATGGAGGAAAGAGAAGGATTAGGTAAAAAAGTGAGCAAAGAGGGGGTATCTACAAACACAACATTGAACCTTGGCATCTTAGGTTCTCATTATGGGAGGAGCCCTGAGTAATTTGATCAGGATGAGCTCCAATCCTCCAAAAGTCACTGGATGCTTCCACTGGGAATTCTGGCTGCCAATGATGGCACTTGAGTCTTTGTTGGGGAGCTACTGGAACCTATGTTACCTGCAACACTGAACACCGTGATCCATACCCCACCCCAACCCACCCAGCTACTATTGAAATCAGTAACTCAAGAATGTGGGGCATAAGCACTACGGTCCCTCTGCCCCTTGGTGGGAATCTTTCTGAAGGATGTGTGTTACATCACTTTAAGAGCTTTCTGGGGAGATTGCAAATCAGTTGCCCTCAATGTTAGCTGGCTTAATAATTTCCCCTCCTTCAGTGCCTTCCCTTCCCTGTGCCATCTCCTGACTCTTGCTGGTGCTTCCTACATCTCCAAAAAAAATTACATTCTCTTAAACTATGTCTCAGGCTCTGTTTTTTAACAAGGAACCATTTTAGAATCACTGCACAAGGAATATTTGCTTTCTTTAGTCATCAAGAGGCAACGAAAAATAGTGGTGAAGAGCCAGAGAATCAGGCTATGCAATCTAGCAACAGCAGAAAGCTTTCCTGAGCAAAAACTCCACTTTTATGACTCACTAGGTAGGATCCATGGGTAAAGTACTCCTTGTCACTGAGCTTAATCTATAAAATACAAAGAGGACCCCTATCTGGAGATCCATGAGCAAGAAGGCACAATTCCAAGTAGGTGTGTGATACCTGATGGCTCCTTTCCAGCATACACTGCAATCTTCACTTTTGCTCTGAGCTCCTCCAATTCCATGTTGACTTACTTGGTGCATGCCTGGCTGAGAAGAGTAGGGAAATTAGGACTCATGGGACAACTCTTAGCCAATGGGAAAAATGGATCCTGTGGATAAATGCCCCTGCCTTCAAGCAGGTAATTCTAGGAAACATTTGGAACACTTCTCTAAGAGTCTAGGTAGAATTGATCCCCTTGCTCTCAATGGTAAGCTTCATAATTCACCCTTTTATGGACTCTTCTTCTTTTCTTGTCTCATTTCCCTCTCTTTTACCCCTGCTTCCTGAGATCATACCCCCACATAAACTGCCTGTACTCTTGTCCTTCCCTCAGGGTCTTTTTGTAGGGTATCCCACAGTAAAACATGTTGGCTGCAAGATTTTTCTAAAGCTCACATCATATTAGAGTGCCGTGTGATAAGCAGGCATCCATAAAATTCCTTAAGAACATTTTCAATGGAGAATACCACCATGGCTGCCACCCAGAGGAGCCCTGCACCTCTCTCTGTGCTCCTGAGTTGCTCACACCACTCTCAAATGCCCTCTTCAGAAGTCTTCCCACCCAGTTTAAGAGCTGCATCAGGAAGTCAGAAGCTAGCTTATTAGGGAAGGAGAAGGAAGGCTGGGGTGTATGAGGTGGAGAACTTCCCTTGGAGTAAGACTGCTGGACTGCAGAGGAGTTTGCCTACCGCCTGGAGCCCCCAGAACTTAGGGCAACCCCATTCACACATATCATGTCTCTATCCATGGTGCTAAGCTTCGGAGAATTCCTCAGCTCACACGGGTACCTATTGAACCCCCCAAATTAAGGAGTCGCCTTTCCCTATCATCTTCATGAAAGGTATAATAATTTTTAAATTTTTTGTAGAGACAGGGTCTTGCAATGTTGCCCAGGCTGGTTTTATGCAATCCTCTTGCCTCAGCCTCCCAAAGTGTTGGGATTACAGGTGTGAGCCACCATACCTGACCTACTTTTGGGTCTTAGACCACTAAAATCAAAACTTTGCTCTGTTCTTAGATGGTTCTTCCAAAGCACCTAATTTTTAAAAATATTATAAAATGTGATTGCTTTAAGAGTTTCCACCCCAGCTGAGTCAGTCTCTCAAAACCTTTATGTTTTCCATGGTGGAGCAGCCGATTATATTGCTCATGTCAACAACTGCTCTCTAGTTTACCATGTGGTTTTATTTAATTCCTGTATCTTTTGCAGAAAACAGTTGGCTCAGGTAGGCCCTGGATGGTAAGAAGAGAAGGCAGGGAGTGGGGTAGTGTGTGGGCAGAGCAAGGACCCCAAAACAAGGCGGTCGCTTAAACCATAGAAAATGCCAGTCAGACTCTCCAAAACCAACTGAGCATTCTTCCCCTTCACCCTGCTGGAGAAACGCTAGAAAGGTTTAATTTTTCACTGTGTAAGCATGTATCCCATCTCTTGGGGCGATGCAGATTGCAGGCAAATAGACAAATGTATGTTTCTTTATTTAGTTTGCTTTTTCAATTTTTTCAGCAGAGAGGTCTATAAGTAAATGATGTTAAAGGATTTATGTTCTTTCTGTGTGTGTGTGTGTGTGTGTGTGTGTGTGTGTCTGTGTGTGGTGTTGAGGGCCCTGAGGGTTCTTAGGAGGCCATGTGTGTATGAGTCACCATCAGCATGGGAGGGGAGCTCAGGGCTGCAGAGCTGATGCTCTCTTAGTTTACTAGGAGCTCTCTTCACCTTCCCCTCCCGCATGGAGAAAAGAGCAGCAGCCACAGCTACGCTAGTGATTAACTTTGGAAGGAAATTAAGGCTTGACCGCTGCTGCTGACCTGAGGGGAGAGTCACCTCCAAGCAGACTGCGCTGGCTCAAGAACATGGAGTGAGCCGCAGCAGGTGGAAGCACTCAGAGAGGGCGCTGCTAGCATCAGGTCCGGAGGGGTTCCACTCGAGGTTCCACGCAGAGAAGGAAGGAGGAGGAGAAGAGAATAAGAGGGAGAGAAGAAAGCAAAAAATGTATGTTTGTGTGTAGGGGGTGAGTGGAAAACAAAAGACAGCATTTTGCCAGCTCTTCTCTGAAAGGCAATCATCTCCACTTACTGTCTGAATAGCCCAGGCTCAAAGCACAGCAGCCTGTGGGCCAACTTCTGCCTGTCCTGGGATGTGCACTTCCCGGCAGGAAGGTGAAAGGGCCAAGGGGAGATCGCTGGAAAGGCTGGGAGGAGGGAGGAGAGGAGGGGGGTGCACGAGGTTGAAGGGGGAGAGAATGAGCGTGGAGGCAGAGGAGTAGGGGTGGGAAGGAATAGAGAAAAAAAGAGGAGGGGTGGGGGAGGGGAGAGAAAAGAAAGGGGAAAACTCCTTTGCTGACACGGGGCATAACTTAATTTTCACGGTGCCGGGACAGCTGTATCGTGTAATCTGCCATGGCATGCCGTTAAAGCTTCAATGACTTTACTGACCCAGAAGGGAGACTCAGACCGTGGAGAGGCTTTTGAAAAGAAGTGGTGATCTTTCACGATTTATGAGCTTGTCTTAAAGAAACAGACTCCACTCACTTTAAATTAATCACCCTTTCCAGGGTGCATAGAAATGGGGGTCTTGGTGCCGCGCGCAGTGAAGGCCCCTGTGAGATGGGGCAGCTTTGACCCCGGATCGGCGGATGTGAGGGTGGCGGTGGAGGTGAGGGTGCTGGAGCGGTCGTTTTTTCCATTTCGTCCCTTTCCCAGCCCGCGCGCCCCCGCAGAGACGGGGGGCGGGGGTGGGAAGAGGAAAGAGGGCCCGGGCTGCGGGACTGCGACTTGCGGAGGAAGGGGCACCGTCTCCTTAGGGAGGCCCGGGAGGTCAGAGCAGGGATAGCTGGCAGGGGGTGGGAGACAGCCTGTGTGTGGTGGGGAAGGGCCGCATTCGCGTTCCTGCACTTGCATTCATTGTGCAAGAAGAAAAAAGAAACCAGGAGAAATATAAGGCATTTCACACCCTGATGAAACGCGAGACCTCCCGTGTGATTAAACCGCTGAAAGGAAAAGTGGGGTATTACCAGAACCACGTGATCCTCCCTCATTTTCCATATTTCTGAGAACAAAAAGGTGAAAACTTCATCCTAATGTGCAGATACCGCTTGCTTAAATTTCGGCGGAGGCATATTTCCCCCCAAAGGAACTCTTGGTAGAAGTGACAAACCTAAAATTACCAGCCATAATGTTCCCTAAAACAGTCCCGAGACCAGGAATATTCTCTAACTTAATATCACCCAGCAAAATACTGCATTTATCTTTGAAACACCTTTGCACATTGCAAAGCTTTCTCTTGGTGATTCACCTACCTCTGCAGAGAACAAATGAGTCTATAGACTCATGCGTGGTGGTTTTCCCTTCATTTCATTTGGGGTTGCCCTTTGTACCTGTTTTGCATGGCCAGCGGCTTCTGCATTTTAACACATTTTGGAGCCTTTTTATAGTTCTATGGTTTCAACAACAGCTGTGTAAGACTGGTTATCTTTGAGCAGTTTCAGATGTGTTGAAGGCTCCCCAGCTCCTAAAAGATCTGCTACTCTGTGAAACCTTTAATGGAGGTAGAAGTGGGATCCCGTTAAAAGAAATTTCAAAGACAACAATGGAGCAAATCTAGTCTTTATAATTTTGATAAAATATTGTATCTGGTCTCTGTATAGTTACTATAACAATTTCTTCTTAACCAATGGCGTTGCTCCATATTTTAAAGTTTGGCACCAGTCAACAGACGTCTAAAGACGCTCGTATGGAGGGGCTTGAAGAGAACCGAAGAAGCTGGCCATGCTCCCACCCGCCTTATGAGAGGCTCAGACATAGCCTTGAACTATCCCTGGGACACCCAACTCTTCCAAGCTATTCAGTGAGGTAATGTGGCTCCCAAGGGGATGTCATTGGAGGTACTCTTCTTGTGTCCAGCACCAGTCAGGGTTTGATGGTTTCAATTTAGTTTTTCTTTCTTTTTTTTTTTTGAGATGGAGTCTCAGTCAGTTGCCCAATCTAGAGTGCAGTGGCGTGATGTCGGGTCACTGCAACCTCCGCCTCCGGGATTCAAGCGATTCTCCTGCCTCAGTCTCCAGAGTAGCTGGGACTACAGGCACCCACCTCCACAGCCAGCTAATTTTGTATTTTTAGTAGAGACGGGGTTTTGCCATGTTCGTCAAGCTGGTCTCGAACTCCTGACCTCAGGTGATCCACGTACCTCAGCCTCCCAAAGTACTGGGATTACAGGTGTGAACCACCACACCTGGCCAATGCTTTAAATTTCACAAATACAAGCTACAGTACTGTCACGGTACTGTTGATTTTATAGTTCCTTTGCTAACATTGCAAATTGGGCAAGCAGAGTGGGGGAGTTCTCCATGACTTGTTTTTCACTGAGCATCTCATTGGAAAACTTCAACAACATACAGCTCTAGACTGGAGCTTCATAGACTGGAGCTCAAGTATGCATCATTTTAAGAAGCCACTTTAAAGCATGTATGGGTATGAATTTCCCATGGCATAAAATTAATTATTCTAAAGTGGACAACTCAGTAATTTAGTACATTCAAAATAGTGTGCAACTGCCACATCCATCTGGTTCCCAGACATTTCTCTCTCTCCAGAATAAAACTCTATACTCATTAAGCAGTTTTCCTTTTCCCTACCTCTATGCCCAGACAACTACCACTCTGTATTCTGTCTTCTTGGATTTACCTATTTCGAATATTTCATGTAAATGGAATAATACAATACGTGACCTTCTGCACCTGGCTTAGGGCTGCATATTTTTAAGACAGAGGTTCTTGCTGATAGAGGCACAATATCCCCCTAAAGACAGATTTTGCACTTTTTCACCTGAATGCTTTCCCTTTTAATTATCATCACACAACTTCACAACATCAAGCGTGAAACAGTTAATGATTAATTTTGCCTTACAATCCATCTTACAGCCACAATTTTATTTATTTACTTTTATTTATTTATTTATTTCTGAGATGGAGTCTTGCTCTGCTGCCCAGGCTGGAGTGTAGTGGCACCATCTTGACTCACTGTAATCTCTGCCTCCTGGATTCAAGCAATTCTCCTGCCGCAGCCTCCTATCTGGGATCACAGGCCTGCACCACCACACCTGGCTAATTTTTGTAGTTTTAGTGGAGACGGGATTTTGCCACTTTGACCAGGATGGTCTTGAACTCCTGACATCAAGTGATCCACTACCTCAGCTTCTGAAAGTTCTGGAATTACAGGTGTGAGCCACAGTGCCCAGCCTATAGCAACAATTTAAATTTTTTGTGACTCTCAATTTTTATCGAGTTTATTCTCAATAAAAAATTTTAATTGAGATTTAATGCAATATTCATGGATTAAATCTACCTATGTGGATGTACCATGATTGTAGTGATAGAATACATTAAATATTTTGCTCTACTTCTAGAAGTTGTTTTCTATGTACTTCTGCATGTTCCTAATATTTACATGTGTTTATTTTTCTCTTTGGGCTGCATATCATATCACTGCATTAATGTACTATAATTTTCCACACCTTTTTTTTGCCTTTTGATATTGCTATGCTAAACATCTTCATTCATAAAATTGCCTGGATGTTTTGTGTTACTGGTATTTCCTTAGGATAGAATTCTAGAAATGGCATTATTGGATTGAAAGCATGGATTTAAAAAACTCTTTTTTCATGAATGAAGTAGTTAATGTTTGTTCTAATCACAGCTCTGAAAGAACATTTGACACTTACGTTGGAATAAAAGTCTTAGCCTTTCAATGTCAGCTTCATCTCATCCCACACTCAGATCAGAACAGTTCCAAGTTTCAAAGTGTGTCACACAGCAGCCGAAATGGCTAGCCTGCATGGATACACAATACATTGCCTCGATGATGACTAACCGTCCATCTGTGCACACTCCCTCCGATCCCCGGGTTTCAAAGATCTCACAACAACCTGAGATCCGCTTTAGGAGAGTAGAGAGGAAATTTTGCTAGAAGATGACAGATCTTGGGAGAGCCTGTGCTTCAGTGGCTGTCAGAAGGCAGCCTAGAAGTGTCCCTCTCATCTACCACCTGGCAGTGAACTCAGGGCATGCCATCACAGCCAGGAGTAAAGATGCATGAGGAAGGATGTCGACTGTGGTTTCCACAGTAAGGAATGGGTAAGATAGGGGAAGCAGACTTAGGACTGGCTACTTTGAAGAATTTCAGCAGGCTCTGGGGTATAGGGACTTTCTCTAGTCCTCAAGTACCTGGCCCTGGAATGATTAAGGCAGGGGAAAAGTAGCTTGGTGTGTGAGAGCCAGTTATTAGAGGAGGTGGGGGTGGTCATGTTGTCTGGGCTCTGGATTGGTTGGTTTGCATATATGAAAGGTGCGCTGGCAGGTGGGTTGTTTACTGTCCCTAGGAATCTGCTAACCTGGGGAGGAGCAGTCTCTATGTTTAGCAACACACCAAGATACAAAAGCATTGGAGATACAGAACATAACAAGGCATGGTTAATTCAACACTTTAAAGCCACTGAATAGATGCCAAATCTGGTGATTTGGAATTAACTATAATGGTAGCACATGCAAGTGAGGAGCAGGGGTAGAGAAGGAAACGTGGTGCATTATAGCCTCTCAGCACAGTCCACCAATGACCTTGTCTTTTCCATGAATGCATATGCATCAATATGACTATATTAGGAAATTCTACTTTCTTTAATAGATGGAACCCAGACATCCTCTGTCAAATATAGGGAAAGAGAGCATGAACAGAAAACGAGGCTAGGCTACACAGCTCCAGTCATTGTTCTCTCTATAGGATCCACATTCCCCTGTGTGTTTTTTTGCTGGAAATTTCTGCTACTAGCATGCTAACTTGGAGAAGTAGTTGTTGTTTCTTTAGCACTCTGATCCAGGTGTGCTCCTTATAAGTGGCTGAACAATGGGGAGGTATGAAAAAAAAAAAAGCTTCCTGAAGCAAGAGTGGAGCAAAAGAGAAATAAAAATAAGTACTATCTTTTCAATAATGGATAATGCTCATTTTGAGCCTGTGGTCCATCCCAGGGCTGCCTTCCTGGCCAGCACCAGGTTGTGTCCACTGAAGCAGTGGTCATCTCTAACCTACGCTACTGGAGTGAACTCTTAGACATTCAAGTTTCTCAAAGTAAAGACCAAGGAAAGGAGTGACATTGTCTCCTCCATCCTTTCAATCCCACTCTCGTAATTCCTGTTTCCTGTCTGAGGAATCCAGCCCTTATCTGGGTGGATGACCTCCCCCTTAGGAATGTTCTTCATCCACAGGGGTTTCATCTCACCCCTGCAGATCTCAACAAAACAAATGTATCTCAGTGAAATATAACCATTCAGAATGATAAGATATCCCCCAAGATTCCAGCCCCCTGGTATACATTCCCTGTATAATCTCTGGGACTTTGATGAAATGGTCACTCCCATGATTAGGTTATGCTGTATGGTTCAGCTTGTGTTAGGAAAGGAAAAACTATCCTTCCTCTGCCTGATCTAATCAGGTGATGATCCACTGAAAGAGATTGGAGAAATAGATTTGAAAGGTGACAGAGATTAACACAAGAGTCTCTAATGCTGACTTTGAAGACGGAAAGGAACATGCAACAAGGATTGTGAGTGGCCTTTGGGAACTGAGAGTGGTTCCTGGCTGACAGACAGCAAAGAAACTGGGAACTCAGTCCTACAACTGCAACTCACTGGATGTAACCTTAGAAGAGGGCACTGCACTCCAGGTGAGAACACAGCCTGGTTCTCACCTTGGCTTTAGCCTTGTGAGATCCTGAGCAGAAAGCCCAGTCACAACATGCCTATATTTTTGACCTCAGAACGGTGAGCTAACAATGGGAACTATACATAACCCACAAACTTATCTCATCCTTGCCACAAGACACAAAACCTCTGGATATGCCTAGTCACACATGTGAACATCTCCAAAACAGTATATCTTGGACCGAGAACCACTTTTCTACTGTCAAGATGGAGGAACATCTTTGCCACTGATGGATCAATGCGGTGATGCCATCCGGAGAGTAATGAGTGCCATTTTAAGCCACTGAGTTTGTGGTGACTTGTTACGCAGCAATAGAAAACCAAGCCAATTCCAGCCTTCTTTAGTGAAGCACATCTAATTAAGTCATAATGTCTAGAAATTCTATTGCAGAAGGAGACTTGATGGCAGTGGGTTCTGTTGCAGAATGTCTCAGTGTGTTCTGGGGTCTGCCATGAAAATATCAGCTGAAATCGTTTCATGACACAAACCCCACTGCCTCTAACTTACTGTCTCATTACTCTCTGATGGTGAAAAAGGCAGTTTGCCTTATGTAGTTACTAATCAGTGGATGCTTAAATCTACCTCTTTCCAGGCAATGATGAAGTTAACAAAGTAATTCTGGGTATTGCTATCTGCTCTTAATCCTGCCCAAACTTACTAGGAAACCTACCCAGGAACCTATGACCTGGGTTGCTGATACCATAATTCAGGTCATAAGGCCCTATGTCATAAAAGGGCCAAAGAGTAAGTGGAACCATGTGGCATCACCACATTGATCCATCAGTGGCAAAGATATTCCTCCTAGCTTGACAATAGAAAAATGGTTCTCAATCTACAGGCCAAAATATACTGACCTGGAGATGTTCACATGTGTAACATAGGCATATCCAGATGTTTTATGTCTTACAGTAAGGATGAGATAGTTTGTGGGTTATGTGTAGTTCCCATTGTTAGCTAAAAGCCCAGCCCAATGAAACCACTACTTTAGAGAGCCATATGGCATTGGTTTCTAGCTAGACCTCCTGATGATAAACAAAATGAAGAAAACACACATTTTTGTTTTCTGACTACCAAAACTGCTGACAAGAAATCATCTGGTGTATCCACATATACAGCCTCAAAGAGGCATTCTCAGGGCTGGTGAAAATATTTTTATTTAAAAGGGAAAGGGTACCACGTACAGTATCTGTTTGAGTTCAGATATATTGCATGATTTCCATCAGCATTAACTTAATCTCCAGTTTAACACCAGAGAGAGAAAGATGAGACTTTCTCAAACTTTTTTGACCTCTTTGAGTTTTTGTTTCTAGGCTGGAAAATGGAACGATTCCTGTTTTGTAGGATTGTTGTGAGATTTGAATAAAATAATGTAAGTAAAATACTTTGTATAATACCTGGCACATAGTAAACCACAAATGAGAGCAATAATCATCACCATTATCACCATCAACATCATCATACCATCCCCATTGTTATCATCAATATCATCTTCATCATCTCATTATCATTATTAAAAACAACATCTTTACTGAAAGCTTGCTACCCTTTAGTCCACCTTAATTCACCTGGCTTCAACATTACCTAAAATACCTCTGTATTTACATACTGAAAAATATTAAGTAACTAGCCGAGTGCCGTGGCTCATACCTGTAATCCCAGCACTTTGGGAGGCTGAGGTGGGCAGATCACCTGAGGTCAGGACTTTTAGACCAGCCTGGCCAACATGGCAAAATCCTGTCTCTACTAAAAATACAAAAATTAGTTGGCTATGGTGGTGCACATCTGTAATTCCAGCTACTCAGGAGGCTGAGGCAGGAGAATCGCTTGAACCTGAGGGGGGCGGAGGTTGCAGTGAGCCCAGATCACACCACTGTACTCCAGCCTGGGTGACAGAACAAGACTCCGTCTCAAAAAAAAAAAAGGCACTAAGACAAAGGCACAGTCGACAGGTATAATACACACTACACTGGCCAGTTCTTACCTAACTTTTAATTCCAATGGCATAAAATATTCTTCCTGTTTACTTAAATTAAATAGAACATGTCTCTTAGGGCAAGCATGTTCCCAGCATCTTTATATAAGGTCATTTGTTTTAGAGAAATCATCTTCATATTGCAGTTTCTTTTCTATAATTCCTGGGAATACCTCTTCTATGGGCATGACTTCAGTCGCCTGCTCCCATGCCCATCCCACATCCTATCTCCATGTTATCATTCAGAATAAATTGTAGGGAGGTGGGGAAGCTGTATTAATGAAGACAAGACTGTAATTGTTTTCTCACTACAAAATCTTTTCCTAAAACCTAGTGTATGCGGTTTGACTTCTGCATAGCTTTTTCTTAATTATAAGACAGTTTTTTCCTGTTCGTCTTTATATTTTTTGTGTTTGGAAGGCATATTTTTTATTTGTTGTTTACATTGCATGTTTAAAGTTGGTCCCATTGTTTGTAATTAACAAAACAAAGCTGGAGAATGGGAATAATGATTGATGGTAGGAAAAGTTGAAAGTGGACTGAGCATAGAGGTTTGTAGCGTATGAGACTTAACTGTACATTACCATCACAGTGGTTCTCCTGTGTAAAATGGCACTGATGTCATCTTCATTTAGTGTGCTTTCTTTTTAGCTTAATTGTTTGTTTTGCATGTGGTATATACATCCAAAAGTTATAAAACAGTAAAAAAACAAAAAGTGGAGAGAGATTCACCCACTCCTCTTTACAGTACCTACTTCTTCCTACCTCTCAGAGGCAGTTGCTATTAGCAGTCACTACACATCCTTCCAGCATCTGGTGAGCACTTAACATTTAAAAATTGTGTACATATTAATTAAACATATTAATGCTTTTTAAGCTTTAACTTTAACTGTATATATAGAATGCTTTATTATTCTTTTTAATGGGTACCTAGTATTCCAGCGTGTGGATGAATCATAATATAATTGGTGAATCAGGCTGGGTGTGGTGGCTCACACCTGTAATCCCAGCACTTTAGGAGGCTGAGGCGGGTGGATCACGAGGTCAAGAGATGGAGACTATCCTGGTCAACATGGTGAAACCCCGTCTCTACTAAAAATATAAAAAATTAGCTGGGCTGAACCCAGGAGGCGGAGGTTGCAGTGAGCCGAGATGGTGCCATTGCACTCCAGCCTGGGTAAACAGGAGCGAAACTGCGTCTCAAAAAAAAAAAATTGGTGAATCCTCTTCTGATGAACATTTTCATTGTTTCCAATGTTGGGCTATTATAAACAATACTACTGGAAATATTTAGAAGCATCGTTTCAGTGGGCTATTTTTTACTTTTTAAGAGATTTTTCAAAAGTATTTATAAGTATCCAGTGGATGCCTAGCAAACTCAGTCTCTTCAAAACTATTTTTTGCTGGTAAGCATTAAGCTCCACCACTAGGATTCTCATTTAAGTATGATTTTTTTATCCCAAAACTCTGGGAAACCACTGTCAGATGACTCTTTTGTGTGGTAAGAGAAAATATTCCTCTCTCAATGCCACCTTAAATTTGATTACTGTTTCCTGCCAAGCAAAATAGCAGAGCAAACCTGTGCTCCATAGTTATTTTCTAGCTAAATCATCCCCTGTAGCCCAGAATTCTCAAGATTTATACTCTTCACTGGCTGTCCTCCTGCCACTCTGCCCACTTACATGTGTGGCAGGCAAGTATCCCCAGACAAAAAAATTAAAAGTGAAAAATGTTAAGAATATTTCTTGCCTTTATAATGAACATTATATAAGCAATTGGAGTTTTCTTCATAATCTAGCATGGACTAAATATAGAATGATCATAAAATCATTTGTAAACTATCTGCCTCATGATGAGACTATAGTGACTGTTGTTATACATGTGTGTGCAGACATGTCTGAAGCAGGTAAATGAGCATTTGCCCATGGACTGTATCTACATGACAATAATTAGAATAAACATGCCATGTCATGGGCTAGTTAATTATCACTCAAGGAGTATTCACAGAAAACCTCTATGCATCCATCACTCATAGCTCATATCTCTTTGTTCACTCGTTGCTATCTTCGAGGTATATAAAGTTATATGAATCCAATTTAACTTTTGGCAATGTGCCACAGAGTGGCAAAAAATTCTGATACTTGCACCAAACATTTATCTGATTTCCTCGTAGCACTGATTGGTTGGTAATTGAATCAGCTTGTATTAAGATGACTTGTACGGGAGTTGTAGGACTGTGGGGCTCAAGAGAGCTTCGAGACGATCACGTTCAATCTTTTTTCAGTGATGAGAAAACTAAGCTGTGGAACAGACTGTTACCTGCCCAGGATGAGACAGCAAGCTCAGATGAGACTTCTGACTTCCTGATCCAGGTTAGGATTCTTTCCTTTTTTCTAAGTCAAATGGACCAGTTGTTACTTCAGCTATTTTTACTCTCCTAAGTTTTGTTTCCATATGATGCCCCATAATGGGTGTACTGTATGTGTGCTGCCATAGGTTTTGAGAAATATTTAATCTCTGAAGGGGATTTTAAAAGTCACCTGGCCCATAATACATTTTTCCCTCTAATTATCAATATTATGATCTGTCTTTCTTGTAGTCATTCTGTTCCCTTGGTGATCTCCTAAACAAAATAGAAATGTGGCAGGTAAATTGAGCAATTAGTATGTGTGTTTTCCCATTTCAGCATCATTCCTTTTCTGTTCCAAGAAGGTCATTGGACTGCCTGGCCCCAGGGGGAGGTTTCTTTTGTTTTCAGGAGCCCTGAGGGAGGTGAGGACTGTACTAAAGGGGAGGATGGAGCAGGACAGCCAAGAAGATGGGGTGGAGGGGTCCCCAAATGGGAAATGCATGGAGCTCCTTGGTCTACAGTTCCTATGGAGAGGGTGGGGCAGGCAGTGGAAGTCTAGCTATGGGTGGTCCTTGGCAGTAGACAAGACCCCCAGCTCATTTCCTACCCAAAGAGAAACCAGGGATGCTGGATTTCAGAATCTCTTATTGGCTTGGCCAGTGGAACCTCAGTTTTAATCAGAAGTCCAAATATCAAAGCTCCTTCCTCCTAGCATTGAGCTGTGCTTGAGATCCCTGGGATGTTCACAAAACCCTGCAGGGTATGTGGGAAGGGCCTCGTATTAATTATCTCTCACTTTGTGATAACCACCCCATGACTCTGTGACTTAATGCAATAAAAATCATTTCTTTTGCTCATGAATCTACAATTGAGGTTAGTCTCCTCTCTGCTCCACCCCTGGTCAGCTGGAGAAGCTTAATTTTGGGCTGGATAATGTGCTTTCAAACTGGCTTAGCATCTATCTGGCTGGCAAGTCGGTTCTGGCCGTTGGCTGGGAGCTCTGCTAGGGCCATGGGCTGAGGATCTCAGATCCACCCTACACAGGCCTCTCCAAAGGCTGCTTGGGCTTCTTCTCACAGCCTTGGCTGGTCTCCAATACCAGGTGTCCCACAAGACGCAGGGAGAACCAACCTCAGAAGTCACATGGTGTCAATTCTGCCTCCTCAGAGACAGGGACCTTATCTCTGCTTGTCAAAACCACACTGTTAAGTACAGCATGTAGAATGGGATGTATTCCTTGACTGTTTTTGAAAAATAGAATCTGCCATATTCCCAAATGACTGATATTGGAATGAGCACAAAGACGGTATGGGCGGGTCTTCTCGAACTAGTGTTGTTCAAAATTTCATAGACTTCATAGCGTGTCTGTTTTCTCAGGCTTCTACAACAAAATGCCATAAACAGGGTGGCTTATAAGCCATGGAAATTTATTTCTCACAGTTCTGGAGCCTGAGAAGTTTAAGGTCAAGGTGCCAGCAGATGTGGTGCCTGGCAAGGCCTCACTTCCCTCTCGCTGGACCTGTCTTTTTGCTTCTCTGCTGGAAGGAGTGAGGGAGCTCCCTCAGGTCTCTTTTGAAAGGCATTAATCCGTTTCATAAGGGCTCTGATCCCATGACCTAATCACCTCCCGAAGACCCCACCTTCTAATACCATTACCTTGAAGATTAGGGCTTCAACACACGAATTCTGGGGGACGCAGACATTCAGACCATAGCACACTGTGTACAGAGGGATTCATTTTGCCTCAGTTTGCACTGATGTTGTCTTCTTATTCTGTTTGTCAAAATAATTATATTTACACATAGTAATGTACGGAAAATATTAGAGGGACTTTCTCTTCATTTTGTATTTATTTACAATTGATTAATTTTTTCTGTCCCACAGATTTCTCATCAAAGTGGTTACTGATTTTTAATCAAATAGCTTAGATGCTCTTACTATTTAGCTATACATTTTGCAGTATAGTTCTTCCCTAATTTAATTTGTAATTTGCATTTCAATATTGTTTTTCCTTAACCTGGGCACATCTGCAGGTCGATTTAAAGGTGCTGGTGAAGTGATTACAAATCTCCCCATGGCAAACAACCTCTGCAGACTCATGAAGACGATTCTTCAATTCATTCACAGTAAGTCGTCTCAGGTAAAACTCAAGAAACCTCATGCAGAGTACTTCTCTGCTTGGTTTAGCTGCTCTCGACGGTTTAAAAAAATGCTGACTGTGAGGACAACTGTGGAGGAAAATGACTTAAGGTGATTCAGAGAAAGGTATCCTTCCTTTGCTCACAAAAAAGCAAAACAATGTACAGCCCTCCCTGAAATGCCTTTTGTAGTCTTTCCGTCTTTTCCTTAGATCACAGCTCTCCTTAGAGTCATCATATAAATGTAAATGCAGGGGGAAAGCAGGAATCTTATCGTGAAGTCTCCAACACCTTGCTGCAGAAGAGGGACCTGTTTGAAGCAGGCGGAAGATCAGGGCAGAGGGTGGGGAGGAAGCCTTCTCATGGCTGTCTTTGCAGACTCTTCATCTCTACTTGCTTTCTCCAGGTGGCGTTTGTTTCTAAAGATGAAACTGTGGTTCGTCAATACCATTCGTATATCTGGGATTTAAATAAAAAAAGATTTTGGGAGTTCGAGATCAGCCTGGCCAACATGGCAAAATCTTATCTCTACTAAAAATACAAAAATTAGCCAGGCGTGATAGCGGGTGCCTGTAATCCCAGGTACTCAGGAGGCTGAGGCAAGAGAATCACTTCAACCCAGAAAGTGGAAGTTGCAATGAGCCAAGACTGCACCATTGCACTCCAGCCTGGGCAACAGAGTGAAACTCCATCTTAAAAAAGAGAAGAGAGAAAGAGCGAAAGGAAAGAAGAAAGAAAGAAGAAGAAAGAAAGAAAGAAAGAAAGAAAGAAAGAAAGAAAGAAAGAAAGAAAGAAAGAAAGAAAGAAAGAAGAAAGAAAGAAAGAAAGAAAAAGAAAGAAAAAGAAAGAAGAAAGAGAGAGAGAGAGAGAGAGAGAGGAGGGAGGGAGGGAGGGAAGGAAGGAAGGAAGGAAGGAAGGAAGGAAGGAAGGAAGGAAGGAAGGAAGGAAGGAAGGAAGGAAGGAAGGAAACTTTGGTTCACTTTGGAAGAAAGTCTCTTTTTATCATTAACCAGCACTTTCTATCCACACCTCATTTTCTTCATCAGAATGGAATTTATCAGGCTGCTTTAAATCAGGCCTGGGTCAGTTTCTCAAGATGAATCATTTCCAGTGGCCATTTATCCTCAGAGGCCCAATTCATCAACACAGGAATTCTCTTCCACCTGCATAAGCATCTCTTAGCTCTGGACAACATGTTGCAAGCTTTGACTTCCAGAGTGACACATGATAGTAATTTCCAAAAATGATAGCTCAGAGAGGAGAGGCCTCAGTGGATGTCTGCTGGGCCCATGGCCTCACCTGAAGAAAGCTGGCCTCTGGGATGGGGTGTCTCCAGATCTGGCCATAGTGGATCAGATATGAAAGGACTCCTCCCAGGCCGCTGGTCTTCAGGCTGGCCAGCAGGCCTGGGGCAGCTCTGTCCAATTGGGATAGGTGGTTCTGCTTAACAGGATCAGTTAGAGTTTGGTAGAAACAGGTGGGACGTCAACACGCTTCCAAAACGCACAGAGTCAACAACTTAGAGCAGGAACAGAAGCAGAGTATCAAAGACAGATGAAAAGCCACTGAGTTAGTAGAAGGCAAAGATTCTGGAGGTCAGAAGCAACACAGGAAGAGAAGAGCCTAGATTTGTGCTTCTCCAAACTTTAATATACATACATGTCCTATGAGAGTCTTCTTGAAATGCTGATTTTGATATGACAGCTCTGGGGTGGTGCCTGAGACTCTGCATTTCTAATGAGCTTCAGGTGCCTCCGGATGCTGCTTCACAGGCCATACCTGGTTGCAAGGGTTCAGAAAACCAACAGTTCTCAGCCTGTGGCTGAGCACTAGAATTGTCTGAGAAGTTTATAAAAATCCAGTCTCCAGAAGTGGAATCTGGGCATCTCCAGGCAATTCCACCAGACAGCCAAGGTTGAAATCATTGGCTTGGAGCAAAGTTAGTTGCTGGTTGAGAAGTCATAGATATTGACTCGGCCCCATCACTGAATGTCCAGAGAGGAGCAGCAGGTGTCTTTTCAAGGACATGCCTATCACACTTGCTATGTCTTGAACATATGCTCTGGCTCCCATGAGGCATCTGCTTCTGTTTATTTTTTTTTTAAACTTCAATAGTTTTTGGCGTACAGGTGGTTTTGGTTATACGGATAAATTCTTTAGTGATGACTTCTGAGATTTCAGTGCACCTATTACCCATGCTTCTGTTTTCACCACCGTCATCAACCCAGTTAAGCCAAACATATCACTGTTCTTTACAGCATGGAAGAATTCAGGGAGGATGACAATGGTAATGTTTCTTTTACTTCATCTATGAAATATACAACCAGGACCAGAGGGTGTCTGCCTAAGGTATTCAAAGTCTCGTGGGTAGTTGTGCTATTTGTCCACAACTCTGCATTTATATGGTCCCATATCGGCATTCCGTGCACTGATTTTTTTTTTATTTTTTTATAGAAACGTCTTTCTTCTTCTTTTAAGGCAAGTGAATAAATGTTTCAAGCCATGGCATCGATCTACACACTTTCAGGATCTTGCCTAGTGTGCAGCTTTATATGTCTGTTTCCTGACACTTCTCAGCAGAAGAAACCATCTCTAACATTCCAAAGGGGGCAGAGCTCAGAAGTGTAGCTGAGAAAGCAGTTTGAGAACCCAAGACCAAATATGCTGAATCCCTTGAAGATGGAAGAAGTTTCTCCAAAACAACCAAGTGTTTATTGAGCTGGGAATAATTATGTTGTGGAAGATAGAAGGAAGTATAACATAGTTACTTGCCTTTAAGAAGCAAATATTCTGACCAGATAGAAACCAAGGAGCTGGGCACCGTGGCTCATGCCTGTAATCCCAACACTTTGGGAGGCCCAGGAGGGCAGATCACGAGGTTGGGAGTTTGAGACCAGCCTGACCAACATGGTGAAACCCTGTCTCTACTGAAAATACAAAAAAATTAGCTGGGTGTGGTGGCACGTGCCTGTAATCCCAGCTACTCAGGAGGCTGAGGCAGGAGAATTGCCTGAACCCAGGAGGCAGAGGTTGCAGTGAGCCGAGATCGTGCCAGTGCACCCCAGCCTGAGTGACAGAGTGAAACTCCATCTCAAAAAAAAAAAAAAAGAAAGAAGAAAGGATGATATTGGGGGTCTCCTCTTTCAACTTTGGAGCCCCCCTCCCTCCCCCCTCCCTTTATCTCTGTACTGGGGAGCCTCTTCCTTCTGCCTTCTCTTTTCTTTCTTGCCAATTAAACTCTCTACTCCTTAAAACCAAAAAAAAAAAAAAAAATAGAAAAGAAAGAAGAAAAAGAAGAAAGAAAAAGAAAGAAGGAAAGAAAGAAAGACATGTAAGTGGCTTCCTAGTGAGAGAAATAATTTACTCTGGGATGAGCTCACGTGGTGAGAAATACTATGAGCCTTGATTTTTCAGCTCCTTACATCTCAGAATGAGGAATTTCGAATATTAGAATGCATTCTGAAGAAGGCAGAGTATACTCATTAAGAATATGTCTTCTAACTCCAGATAGACGAGAGACCAAAGGCTGGGGCTTCCACTTACTACCTCTGAGAAGTTGGACCACTTCATTTTTCACCTCTGTCAAGGGCAGTCCTTGTGAGGATGAACTAAGGCAGGCCCGGCACTGAGAAAGTGGCCAGTGGTGTCCACTGTTAGGTAGAGAGAAATTGTTGAAAGCTTTAAGACAGTGTGGGGAAGGGGGATGTCAATAAAATGAAGAGAAAGATTTTGAAAGACGAACGCAGCATCAGTGTCAACCTTTGGAGGAGTCTGTGCTGAGGAGAAGCCGGTAAGTGCAGAAACGACCCAGAGAGTCAAAGAAGGGAGCTTTGAAGTCAGGGCTGTATTTGTTGCAATGGTAAGAAGATAAGGTTGATAAGACCTGGAAAGTATGTGGGCGTTTGAGACAAATGGGTTAATACACCATCTCTTAGACAAGGAGAAGTCAAAGATGATGATGAGGTGAGAGTCTTGGGTAGCCAGGAGAACAGACTTGAAAGGCCTTAACGGAGGTGAAACACACTCCACTTACCTCCTCAATGCGCTCTTCCCATGCGATATGCAGACTAGATGATCCTGGAGAAGTTTCTATATTCAGGTGGTTCCTTGGGGCACAGATGTTATATGCTTGCTGTACTGTTTAATCATAAAACACTGCTACAAAAAGATCTTTGAGCTTTTAGGTCACACATACGCAAGTGCTAGGTAAAATGTGAAAAGTAAGCTGAGTTTTTCTCTTCTTCCTCTGCAGTAGAAAAATGATTTTTTTTTTTTGAGACGGTGTCTCACTCTGTTGCCCAGGCTGGAGTGCAGTGGCATAATCTTGGCTCATGGCAACCTCTGCCTCTGGGGTTCAAGAGATTCTTCTGCATCAGCCTTCCAAGTAGCTGGGACTACAGGCATACGCCACCATGCCCAACTAGGTTTTGTATTTTTAGTAGAGACAGGGTTTTACCATATTGGCCAGGCTGATCTTGAGCTCCTGACCTCAGCCTCAGGTGATCCGCCCAACTCGACCTCCCAAAGTGCTGAGACTATAGGTGTGAGCCACCATGCCTGACCAGGAATTTTAAGATATAAGATGAAAATGAGGAAGTAAAGAACACTCCAAATAAGCATCAGGATGCTGATCTTCAAAAAATAAAAATTTTCACCCATTTATCAGTCCTCCTGCAGAGTAGCCATCAAGTATAGATTTTGAACTTTGTCCATGCAAGGAATTCCCTGAGACCATGAAAGGTCAGAGAAGGACTGTCTTTAGGGCTGGGTGGACAAATGGGTGGTGTAGGTGATTAAGCACAAGTTTTCTTCTTGCACAGAAAATTCCTTTCCAAAACTTAAATAGTTTCTGCCTCAAGGAAAATCTGTGCTATTATCACCAGTTTCCCCTTCTATTTGTTTTTCCTGAAGTGCTATGAGATTTCTAAAACAAAGTGTAAGATATGAACGCTGTAAATTCCTGCTGTTATTCATAAACATTATTTGGAAATACTCCATTTGGACTTGTCCACTTTTCCTTCTGTTACTAAAACCAGCTATCAACTTTTCTATAGGAATTTTTTCCTGTAGTTACCTTATCATTTTTTGTTTAATCAAAATAACATTCTTATGTTTTTTATTAATTCATACTTTTTTTTTTTGAAATAGGGTCTTATGCTCAGGCTAGTCTCAAATTCTTAGCTCATGTGATCCTCTCGCCTCAGCTTCCTGAATAGCTGGGACTACTGGTGCATGCCACCCAGATTCATTCATGTTTTATTATTATTTTGAGACAGAGTCTTGCCCTGTCACCAGGTGCCAGGCTGGAGTGCAGTGGCATGATCTCGGCTCACTGCAACCTCTGTCTCCTGGGTTCAAGCAATTCTCCTGTCTCAGCCTCCCAAGTAGCTGGGACTACAGGTGCACCCCACCACGCCCAGCTAATTTTTATATTTTTAATAGTGATGGGGTTTCACCATGTTGGCCAGGATGGTCTTGATCTCTTGACCTCGTGATCCACCTACCTCGGCCTCCCAAAGTGCTGAGATTATAGGCGTGAGCCACCGCACCCAGCCTCATGTATTATTTTAATGGCTTAGGGTTGCTTTTCCAGACAATAAATCGGTGAAAATTATTTTATAAAAGTATTATCAACTGAACATTATTATAACTCCCTCTTGGTCTAGATAAAAAAGGAATGGAGCAGTGGGTGGAAAATTGACTTTCATTACTTCTTATTTTCATATTTTATAGAAGTACAGAGAAGATTGATCAGTTGTCAACATTAACTGACTATGTATAGAATGCTAAACAATTATAATAAAGAAGAACAAAGCAATGAGGAACCTCAGTGGGGGTAAATTTCTCAGTATCTACAGCATGACAAAGACATATTTCCCTGAGGCCAACAATTCCCCTATAGGAACACATCCTATGGATAGACTTGTAAGTGCTCAAAATGCAACTAGAATGTTCCCAACTATCTGCTGGGTAATATACAGGACATAGGAGAAGAAAAGGATAAACTGGTGTCTCTCAACTGAGACAAATGAGAGAAGAAGTTCAGTCCTAACTCAGGCAGGGAAGCAGAGTCAGAGAATGACTGACTGCAAGGAGTGGAGAGCCTTCTGAAGAAAATCCCAGGTTAAAGCCCCATAGCGCAGAGGTCGGACTTGGGGTAGAAAACACAGAGGCAGCTGCGGTTCATCCCTTGTAATAACCACATTTTCTAATTTCTGTGTTTGGTGTTTTGGCATCTGAGCCTTGCTAACTCAAGAGAAACTACTGCTCCCAGGGCTGCTAATTCCTAGAGATGGCAAACAACTTGCTTGGGAGTGCACCTTTCATCTGCACACCAACCAATCCAGAGCCCACATTCCCCAATCACTCTGGGTATACTTACAAAAGGAATAGGACAGTGGAAGGAAAATTGACTTTCATTACTTCCTATTTCAATAGTTATAGACATACAGATAAGAGAATGATCAGTTAACAACATTAGGTAACTAAGTATAGAATACTACAAAATTGTAATAAGAACAAAGCAGTGAGGAGCCTCAGTGGAGGGAAATTGCTCAGTATCTGAGGCATGACAAATGCGTATTTCCCTGGGGATATGGTTTGGATCTGTGTCCCCGCCCAAATCTCATGTTCAATCGTTAATTCCATTGTTGAAGGTGGAGCCTGGTGGAAGGTGATTGGATCATGGGGGTGAAGTTCTCATGTATGGTTTGGCACCATCCCTTTGGTGGTGTTCTCATGATACAGTGTCACAAGATCTGGTTATTTAAAAGTACGTGGCACCTCCACACCTGCTTCCTCCTCCTCCAGCCAGATGAAGATGCCTGCTGGCGCTTTACCTTCCGCCATGAGTAAAAGCTCCCTGAGGCCTCCCCAGAAACAGATGCTGCCCTTCTTCCTGTATAGCCTGGGAAGCTGTGAGCCAATTAAACCTCTTTTCTTATAATTTACCCCGTCTCAAGTATTTCTTTATAGCAGGATAAGAATGGACTAATACATCTAGAAAGAACAATTCCCCTGTAGGAACATACCCTATGGAGAGACTGATCCTGTGGATAGCCTCCAATCACCTTCTTTATCTGACCATTATCCACCTATCTCAATCACCCCAGGGCCAGATGCCAGACAGAAAGAGTGGCTACGTCCCAGAGCCCATTGAATTACTCAAACTAGCCAATCCTAAATCTGCTTATTTTACCTCATGGATTCCTCCTCATGGAAACCACAGTAAAAAACCTTGCCCACATTCCCCGACTCCCTCTACCTCCTGACGACCCTGGTGCTTCCCCATGTGGCCTGCATGGCATGTCACAGCTCCTGTTCCTAGGAGTCTGTGAATATAGACTTCATAATTATCATTTCTGTGTCTGCATATCTTTCATGCCTGATTAAAACAAATCCCAGACATATTTTTTAACTTCCTTGAAAACAACTTTCAAATATCTTGAGTTCTTTGGAAATAAAAAGAACCTCCAGAGATATTCCCCGTCCTAAAGACAAGTAATCAGAAGCCCATAGTCCAGAAAACGAAGTTTGGTATGTTGTGTGTGTGCATGTTGGAGAAGGGGAAGAAGTTAGTGTCTTCGATGATCTTTAAGTTTCCTCTTGCATGTATTATTTTACATAATCAGGCATATTCTATATAATCAGTAGAAGCCCTATGTCATGCTAATTATTTCTGTGCCCATGCACTTTCACTCAGCTTTGTATACACAGCGTGTGTGCTGTGCTCTGCATAGTACCTAGCACATTGCTAGTACTTTTAGAAGATTAAGGCCCAGCAAAATATGAATATCATGCTCTCCCGCCATGAATTGCATCTAATGTCTAATTTTCTGAATGCTCCTATTCTCCCTTGTCTGATGTGCTCACCTCAAAGTATTGGCAGGTGGGTGAAGTGGAGGTCTTGGTGGGGGAGAGGGCAGCATTAACTAGAAAGGTACTAGCATCAGAGGTTACGTTGCTCTTTCATCTGGGCCTATTGTAAGGAGCTTCTTACCATTGGCTACAAAAATTACCTCCAAGATATAGAATGGGAACTCAGAGGCAAAGCCAACTGGGAAAAGGTAAGGTACAAATAAAATAAAAATGGGACCAAAATTCAGGATTCGTAATTGGGATTTGGTGGAGATTTCAGAGCTGAGCATTTGGAAACTACAAGAAGAAGATCAGAGCAAAAAAGATTAGAAACCAGCTAAATGAATTCTTGTGTGATTTACAAAGCAGACTGGGGCTCCCTTGGCTGGTGGGTGTGTGATCCTCAGGGCTCCAAGTTGGCTGGAAGGGTCAATGAAGGCAAAAGGAACATGTGTCTTAGGTTGGGTTCCTCTGGAAACATTCTGAGAGTGTGAAGAGGGCTTGTTGGGGAGTGCTCTCAGGAACATCTTAAGGCAGCGAGGAAAGCCAGATGGGACAGAGCCGGGAGTGGAATTGCAATGCAGTTGCAGCCAAGGCCTTGGGTAATCTATATGTCACTGTGTAATGGGGGTGGCAGTTCAGAGTTGTCCAGAACTGAGGTGTGAAAACTGGGCTTTTGTACCTCCTCTACGGATCTGAACTACTCTGGAGAAGGAGACATAATTTGGGTGAGGCAACCTCACTTCTGCCAAAGGCAATTCCTCTGGATGCAGCTGTGGGCTCAGCAGCCAATAGTCAAGACAACTGGAAGAATCAGTCCCAGTGAGGGATCTGGGTGGCATCCATGACAGCATCCCATTAAATAGAAAACTGGCAGTACCACATTTGGAATTGTGGATTTTGCAAGCCAAGTTTATCTTATTAACTCAAAGCAATGTCAAAATGTCAAACTCTGTTGGGTCAGGAAATAGGATGCTCCAACCCTGCCCATGGTAAGTTCTCATAGCTGCTATAAACATCTTAAGAAAGCACACATGATTGGGCCTGATAGCCCAGGGAGGGGTTATTCTAACTGATGTCTCTGCCAACTCTATAAGCTGGTAGCTTGGCTGCAGTACACCAGGTATCCGGATAGGAAGTTGTTTCCATGCGTAACCAAAGGTGAAGGACCCAGGGTGGTCACCTGAAATGTGTTTGTCATATGCAGGTCATCGTTCCTGGGAATCTTTGGCCTCATTTCCCAGATCCCTCTGGCTCAAACGTATGATGATTTAAATCAAGATGCTTGGGAGCAATGACAAATAATCCACTACAACTTCTCTGCTGCTTCCCTGCTTGCCTACGGCCCACCCTCTCCAGCACACACACACTCAGACACACACAAGTACAGTATTGTTCCACCATATCCCTAATTTTACAGATCTCCCGCTGAAGGTTCTGACTAATGGTAAGTTATTTGTTCAGAAAGATTTTATGGCTCTCATAAAATGTCAATTACAGTTTTAAAATAACTTGTAGTTTTTCTGTAACATGATGCTGCCATCTTGGTTCCCAGAGGGTGTATTAAATTCAAGTAGCAATAACAAATCATTTAAGCAATAAATAAATAACCTGAGACGGAGTGTTGTTAAGAGTTAATAGTCTCCCATACACTCAATAGAGGTTGAGGCTCCACTCAATTAAAGTGACCCTGGGAGGGAGGGGCACAGGGGCCAAACTGCACCCAGTCGTTTTGTTGAAGGTATTCAACCCGCACACATTCATTTCCTTCTTTATGTTGTCTCTTTTCAGCAGGGAAGGCTCTCTGCAGTCCCTGGTTCCAGAGAACAATTACGGTACAGTCTGAGAGAACAGAGAGAAAGCTGGGGTCATAAATATGTTAAATGGGTGCGTGGGTTTAAGTGGCTTTGTAAACGAAACACGGAGGAAAACTCAGACTAATTAATGAATATGAAGCAGCAGGAAGGCTGGAGGTTTCTGGGGGACCGTCTTGTTGAGGGATGAAGATGCGACATCTGTAGAATTATTTTCCTCCAGGAAGGGACACTTGCTTATTTCAAAACCTCTTTTTCTAGATCTCAAAGTGGCTTTGTGGAGAACATCAGATGTGGGTGAAAACACACAAAGAAACATTTAAAAGTGAAATCCCCTTAAGTTGCAATTTCTCTGATCAAGTTATAACCTTGCCCAAAAGAATGATCTGACAGATTTTTAAAAAGTGTTATCTGTGTATTCTGAGAGAGTGACATCATGCTAATGTAGAAAAGAAGATGTATTGCATATTTTAAATACAGATTCACAGCTCATTCCAATACACAGACTCTCGCCTAATAAGTGGCATTTGTTGAATGTTAAATTCCATTTCGGTCAAATCAAAGATAAAGATTTTGTGATGTGGCATATCTGCAATGTTCTAAAATATTTCAGTTTTTCTGTTTGGAGCATTTACTCTTTTTCCTTTTGCTCCTTCTTCACCTTTTTTGGAAAAAATTATTAGCACAAATATCTTATCTGCACAGGATGTTAAAGACTGCCTGCATGCCTCCTATGACCTGTGTTTACCCACAAATGACTTTCTGGTCTTGCTGTGTGAGACAAGCCAGTGCTGGTACTCTGAAGTGTCCCAGAACTTGGGGGATGCTGACCCTGTAGGAGCCAGTCAAAGAACAACCACCACACATAGGCCACAGCAGAGACGCAGATGGACAACGGAGTCAGGAAGGAGAGACAGACTCAAACAAGGATGGGAAAAGTAGACAGGCACAAAGAAAGCCACAGAGAAGAACAAACACGAAAATAAAAACCCAGAAGCAACAGAAAAATGGCACTTCTAGGATGCACCCTAGCCTCCTTGTTTAATTGACTAAATGGCAGAGCTGTGAGCAGAAGATGAAATAGTTGATCTAATTTGATTGTTAAAAGGCAAAAATAAGCAGACTGCCCCAGTTTCAGCAGCCTTAGTTTCAATGACAAGCAAACAAAACCTTGCTACATCTTGTCTATATTGATTCAACCAACTCATTTTGTTTTTATTACATTTAAAGCTGAAGAATTACCTTTATCATTCTTAAATGTAATTCATAAATGACATCTGTTCTTCAAAAAGAAATAGTATGTGTTTGATTGAACACCTACTATAGGAAAGGTAGGGGATTAAGGCTTTGCAGAAAGAATACAAAGATGCATGAGAACTCTAATTGATCTTAAAATATTAAGGAAACAGATGGTCACGGTTACGTGATAAATGTGTCAAACTAAATGATATCAAGACAAGAAGTGAATAGTACAAGAAACATCAGAATAACTGTCACAAGAAAATGCTCTTGAAAAATTGCTTAATATGGGATACAGATTATAAACGTTTTGAGGTCTGAAGGGAGAAGACTTATAATTTGTATAAATACAGATTATAAACGTTTTGAGGTCTGAAGGGAGTTAAAGTAATCATTATAGTTCTAATGAGATGATGATCTGCTTTGGGTCTTCGAGGACCTTTGATTCTTTTATAGGTGAAATGGAGAAGAAAAGGATTTGGAGACATTAATTTACATATTATCCATTGCTGTTGTTTTATTTATAAGGAACAATGAAACCATAAACATATATATAGTGGTATGATGTGATCTGTGTTTGTCTTAAATTTTCACCTTATACACAAATACAAAGAAAAGTTATCTAAGGAAGCTTGATAGTTGCAGTGAAACTATTCCATGGAAGAAAGTGATGCTGGAAATAGTCATTAAGCAAAAAATGATAGTAACTCTCAAATACTTATGTCTTTTGTCAGCATTTCTATATACAAACTATCAAAAGACTATTTTATATATAGTCTTTGCTATGTTAGAATGGAATAATGTCCTTCCCCTCTGAATACCTTATAGCTCCCAGAGCATGATTTAAATGTTCAAATGTCTATCAAACAGAGAAGAAAAACAAATCAGTATTTTCCTAGAGTTGAGGATGGGAGCAGGGAATAACCATCACCTGGGATCAAGGGAATTTGGGCAGTGATGGAAATGTTCTGAAAAATTACACTGTGGTAATGGTTGTACAATTCAATACATTAACTAAAATCATTGAATTGTACATTGATTACAGGCAAATTTAATGATATGTAAATTATAATTCAATAAAGCTATCTTTTTTTGAAGTGTCTACCAGGCCAGGGTGGTAATGTAACTCAATGATAGTTTCTGTGTTTTGAATGAAGATGCACTCTTTTTGCATGGTAGACATTTAAGAGTGTCCTTTAACCTCACTAAGATTTATCAATCTCCCATATTTCATGAAACCCAGGATTTTCTTGTTGTATTTTTTGTTTTCTAATTTTTATAGAGATATGAGTATAGAAAAAAATTTTTTTAGTTAGAGGAAAACAACATGACAAGTGACAATCCAAGATTTCTCACTGTGCAGCCTTGGTAGAAACTGGTGGGGCCATGATACCTGGAGGACTGTGTCCTGTGTCAAGGTGAAAACCACTACTCAGCTCCATTGGTTGTTACAGGGTAGGGAGGGGAAGTTGCCAGATTTTCTACTTCTCCAAGAAAACATTATAATAAAATCTTCTGATTTTAAGATGTTGGTTCAGACTTTTAAAACAAAACACCATATGGTCCAAACAAAATGGGCCAATTCAGTCAATGAGGTGAAAGTCCATAGCCTCTGCTTTATAGTCAGAAGCTTATTGTGTAGTGCTTAATTATGGATTTCCTACTTTTGCTCACTGTTGTTCTGTGTGGGCTAATTTTGACTCCCCGAACTTTTATAGTTTCTGGAGCTGGAGGTTGGGGTAAGGGTTTTGGGCCTGATACGTACGTGTGTGTGCATGTATGTTTGTGTATACTGGTCTCAACCAGTGCGTAGCTTTGTGCCAAATATATATTACAAATGCACAGTCAGTATTGTCGGTTTCATTAAGATAATCAAAATATCATGCAAATAAATGTTTTCTTGAAGACTAGCTAAAATATGCATGCTACTTCACCCATCTAGAAAGATACAGTCTGGACTCAAACTCAAGTCTAAGTAGACCTCACATAAAGTGACAATGACCTGTCAGGTTTTCCTTGGCCAGATCAAGCACACAAGAAAATAAAAATAATAATTTTCTGTACTGGGCCATCGTATTATCTCTGAAATGTGGCAGAGACTAGATAGATTCTTACCAAATATTGTTTCTTCTCTCTGGGCATACGTAAAGACTGCATTTCCCATACTCCCTTGAAGTTAGTTTGAAGTCATTTGACTACATTTTAGGCATGGAATTTGAGCAGACATGTTCCAGGACTAGCTATAGAAGTCTCCTGTGTGAACCGCCATATCTCTTCTCTTTCCATGCTGTAGCATTTGCAGAGAATACATTTTAGAATAGAGTCATCGCATGATGGAAGGAAACTGGGTTCCTGAGTCACAGCATGGAGGAGAGTCACAAAGGAGAGCCATCTGGCCCACATCAGACTAAGGTAATAAATAAATATATTTGTGTTAAGCCACTGAGATTTGAGGATTATTTGTTATGGCAACCAGCATTACTTATCCTGTCCTTTTTCAGAGACAGTCGGAGAAAACTTGATTACACATGCAGGTGGTTCGACCCTTCTGATGTAATTAATAACTATAGATTGCCAAGTAATTATATACTTTTTGTAATTAACAAAGTTCTTTTGCACACTATTTTATTTGACACTCACAACACAATCCTGTGAGGGAACAAAATGAGGCTTCTCACCATTGGGTCAGAATAGGAAACAGGGGTGCAGAAAGGTCAATGGAAGCAGCTGGGATTTCAACCCGAGTATTTTGAGATCTTCCTTCTGTTCATCTACCACTATTTATGTTTATGAGAGAATCCCCAAAGAGATGGAAAGAATCCTTAAACTTAAGTTACCTGATTATCTTTTCATATTAGTATTTTAATGTCAAAATTACACTCAATATGGATGCCGAGTCTTCAACATGGCCGGGATTCTTGTGCTAATGTTAATTATTATTGCTTCAATTAGGCTTCTGTAAAAAGAGAAGGAAGCTGTATGCAACTTCATCTACTGCATATTAGGACTGATGACACATAAAAATTTGGATTTTTATAGTGCAATGTATATCCTGAAAAAGTACAATATTGCTCAGAACTTTTTGTCTATAAGGTAAAATACAGGGTGTGTAATTATAGGTACAAATAGCCCTTTTTTTTTTTGAGACAGAGTTTCACTCTTGTTGCCCAGGCAGGAGTGCAATGGCACATTCTTGGCTCACCGCAACCTCCACTACCTGGGTTCAAACTATTCTCCTGCCTCAGCCTCCCAAGTAGCTGGGATTACAGGCACGTGCCACCATGCCCAGCTAATTTTTTGTATTTTTAGTAGAAACGGGGTTTCACCATGTTAGCCAGGATGGTCTTGATCTCTTGACCTCGTGCTCCACCCACCTCGGCCTCCCAAAGTGCTGGGATTACAGGTGTGAGCCACCGCACCTGGCCAGCCCTATTTTTAAATAACTTCTTCAATTAGTGGTGTACACACTGAGAAAAATTTCCTTTGTGGGGACAAAAATTAATAACATTTTATGAATATGATGCACTAAAAAAATTTAAAACATTCAAAACTGTTTTTCACCAAAGAGAAGAAATGAAATATCAAAAACGAATAAGCTCAGAGAATTTCCAAACTTGCACATTCTATGGTCCCTGACATTCAGTCTCTTTAGTCAAGCTTTCCTTGTTCCTCTGTCTGAAACAGCATATTTTAAATCCATTATGATTCTATTTTTTCATGACTGCACTGAGCGTAGCCTACTGTGTGCCACACGTAGGTAGTTATCAACCCCCACAGAACATTTGGCAGTGTTTGAGAACTGATGCATTGTCATGGGGCTTCATGTTCCAAAGGGCCCCATGTTTCCTTTAATGCTCTGTTGCTGCCCCTTATAATTCTTGATAATTTTATCTTTGAACTTGTATTTTGTGAGCGAAGTCTGATGGGACAATGGAGAATGTGCATAAGAAGTATAATACATGGGGATGCCTTTTCTTGCCACCTCATTCACGTATTCATGATGCCCCATGAGCACAGAATTCCAGTGGCCTACCATGTGTGGGAGTTCAGTAAGACTCAAAAGTACAAATTAAGAGTATTTCATCTATACCAATATAGCTCCAATAGGCTGTACTTTCGGCTTGAACCAGAACTTTCTTTGAGAGCAGAAAAACACAATGAAGGAATCCTATCATCTTCCTTCTTATTCAGGCCATTTTCCTGTATTAGCCAACCACTTGTCCTGAAAACGATGACACAGACAGAAAAGGAAAGACAGGGCAATGCATACTCCTTTTCCTTCCAGACCTTCCTTACTCAGCAGTAAGCTGAAAGCAGAGAGGGTTTGTAGAATGCGTGCATAGTTTGTACAACGTTTTCACTGTTCTAGTAAGAGTGACATGCATGTGCATGCATAAATTACGACATAGGAGTTGTGTCTTTTTTTGGAGGGGGGATGCAGTGTCACTCTGTCTCCCAGGCTGGAGTGCAACGGCGAAATCTCGGCTCACTACAGTCTCCGCCTCCTGGGTTCAAGCAATGCTCCTACCTCAGCCTCCCAAGTAGCTGGGATTACAGGCACATGCCACCATACCTGGCTAACTTTTTGTGTTTTTACTAGAGATGGGGTTTCCCCATGTTGGCCAAGCTGGTCTCGAACCCCTGACCTCAGATGATCAACCCACCTCAGCTTCCCAAAGTGCTGGGAATTACAGTTGTGAGCCACCAGGCCTGGCTATGTCATTTGTTTATATGAGCTAAATGCTGTTATATTTGCAATTAAAACTGACATTCTGCAATATAAATGGTAAAATTCATGCTAATAAATTTAAGTTTTTATTTTTCCTTACTTTGACATTAAATAGCAAATAAAAAATTGCTAATCCCAAGGCAAATGGAGAGAGAAACTGTGGAAGAAAGGAAAAAGCTGCACATTTTAGTACCTTTAATGTTACTTTTTCAGTAACATACTAACATATTTGTGAGTAACATATTTGTGCGCATATTAACATAATGTGCTTTTTCAACACAGGGCCTACATTTTCATTTTGCACTGGGTCCTGAAAATTATTAATCACTCTAATGGAGACAGTTTTGATTACCACAATTGGGATACAGGGATGCTACTGGCATCTAGCAAGTAAAGACCAAAGATGCTGCTAAACGCCGTGCAGTGCATAGGTCAATCTTTACAACAGAGCCAAAAATGTCCATGGTGCAAAGGTTGAGAAACCCTGTGGCATGTGGGTTTATATTTTCCAACTAAATGTCCAGTCCCTTAGGTTATGGGCCATTGTTTCTTTTTCTAACTCATGTAGCATCCAGTACACTTTCTGGCACAATTGGTGGAATGTTTTTAAAGTGATCAATACTTGTTCTGTTAAAAAGAAAACAAGAAGAGTCTTTCAATATTCTTTGCTTGTTATCATCCTCATCATACAGGCTTATTAAACAATTTGCACAGCTTGCAGATGACTTGTGTGCTTCAAGCCAGTGGCGAAGCTGGAAACAAAAGTCTTATCTCTGATCTTCAGAGATAGACTTAGATTTATTATTTCCATCAGAATTAATCTGCAGCTGAAAAGGCATGATTTAGAATTGAAAAGATTTTACCACTAAAGTTAGGAGGCAGGCATCAGTGAAAGGAAATATTCATTTAGTTCCCGACTTATGGGCACTGATATTGGGTGCTTTATATTTAATCATTTGTTATAACTGGTGATTCTTTTTTATAATGGTTATTCCATTTTACAGGTGAGCAACTTGAGGCTCAGAGAGATTCAGTAACTCATCCAAGTTCATATGTCTAAAGAATATAGACTGAGCCAAAAGTCAAGCTCAGGTTTGCATGACTCTGAAACATGTGACCCAGGATCAGACCTCCCTGCAGTTACACTTCACCACCGAGGACTACGATATGAACGCTGAGGTGGAGATTATAGTCCCATTCCACATTTATGAAGTGCCCCCACTGATGGGGGTACCACATACCAGGTCCAAACCATGATACCTTTGAGAGTGAATGGGGAATTATTAATCTGATGCTGGGACAATAGCGTATTATTAACTAGGACTGCTCCGGTGACATGACGACCTACTATGGTCACCCCCAATCCCTGGGAACCTCTTGGAAGAAGGTCTCTTAGCAACAGAAGGGAAGCATCCTGGTCAGGTAATCTGCTTCCCCAGAGCAACCACCGACATATCTACTATGTTCACTTGGTAGAAAGAAGTAACAAGGGAAACAGAAGAGGTAGGTAAGAAACAAACAATGTATTTTACAATTCATCATAAAATGATTGCTGGGAGCATATTTTTTGCTTCAGAAACGTTAGTCAAAATAATTCAGCTATAGTCCTGGTATCATAGAACACACATATCCTAGCAAATTTCAAATGCAATAGTTTGTCAGTTTATAGTCCACAGAAGATCTTCTAAGTATAGGCCTGTGCCACATTCTCCTTACCCCGTGGTGTCTCTTGGGCAGCGTACATGGGCATGCAAATGTGACAAGAAGAATTCTGATTCCTCACGCTTATTTAGGTTGTGAAACTCCTATTCTGGGTTCATGCCATAAACATGGTGTGCCTAATTAAAGAGGCTAAAATCAAAAGAACCACAGCTCTTTCTTTCACAAAACTATTTCTCTTCCTCTTTCTGCTCCTCCTCCTTCTCTTACAGAGCTCTTACTACCAAAATACATACAAATTAGACATGCATTACTGGAAGAAACTGTAGGAAAAGGAGCTAATGACTTTAGTGGGGCAGAAGGTTCAAATATAGGACAGGAATCCAGCCCCACACCACTGGTTCACTTGAATACCTCCTGCTGTTCAAATTCTACTCACCTCTTGTCCCCCAACTTTCTGCTGGGCACTGACCAACACTCAGAGGTATAAACTTAAATTTGATGTTCAGCACATATATTTGCTCCCATTCATGAAGATCCATGGCTACAAAGACTAGGAAATTAGAAACTAAGCCCCAGACCCTTGCTTTGGACTACAGTATTTCCAGATATTGGCTCAGGGATACTTAGAGGGCTGGATTTGCCATGTCACGCCCGATAGCCTGCTGGTTGTCGGCGGGGTCTCCTTCTCGGCTGAGGAAGGCAGTGGCTCAGAGACCTGCTCTTTGTCTGAGGTGACACAGACTCTTGGCAGCAGACCTCTTCAGTTCAAGCTTGCTTGCTTCTGAAGTCCTGCCAACCCTCACACTAAGAAAACGATGGCATTTAATTAGGGGGAAACACCTCGTGCTACATGAAAGAGAAGAGAGAAATGGGAAAAATTAATTCATTGCTATGTAATAGGTGTAAAACACTTTAAATATGTAGAGGTTGCCATTTAATTTTTTAAAAAGTCAGCTTCTTATTAGACAGCAGTGTAGATAGATATCTTGACAGCTTTTGCACGTTGGTAGCAGCCTAGGGCAACATGGACACTAGAAAGTCATTGCAATAAACCTCTGAGCTTTGCCCTATTAAAAATGTCAGACTAATAAATCACATTTTTTAATGACCAAGGAGGGAGGAGATCAATAAGCTTTAGGAAGCCATCTACAGAAGGGTCATCTGGTGCTGTTTAACATAGGCTCACTACGGTGGCAAAGATTTCACAATTCATCTACCGTTCAATGTTAAGATCCACATCAGGGCATGAAAGTTATATTAACTTTTAGGCCAGAAATCTTGGAGGAAACTCTTCTATTTTTAGGCACTTATTTAGTCTTTCAGATCGTGTGTGTGTGTTTTTAAATAGCCCTATATTTTCAAATTGTTTTCTGTCTTTCGAATCTTTAAAATGTAGAAAATAATATTTTTCTTGGTTCTATTAACCAGAGTTTTTAAAAACTTTTCTAAATATGGCAATTACTTAGCATATTGAAACAACAACAGGAGGTCAATTAAACAAAGGGATGAAATTTACTGTTGAGGCAATGAATGGAAGAGTATACCCTATAGACCTGCAGGCTTCAGTGTTAGCAAAGATCAAACTGTCAACCTCAAAGAAAAATAGATCCTTTAAAAGAAATAATCCAAGGCTTATCATTATTCTTAGCAGCTTTTTCTTCTCTCTTCCTCATACCTCCCTTCTCCTGAATTATATATGCATTAACAGACATTCTCATTGGAGGAAAAAAAACTAAATTTGACATCTTTTATAAGTTATTCATTTTAACAAAAGTTTCAAAATTGCCTTATTTAATGAGTTTCTCTTCACCAGTACAAAAGACAATAAATAAGACGCAGTGATGAGCAGTAGAGGAAGGTCTTTTGAGGTCTCGGTGAGACTGTTTAGCAGGGATTGAAGACCACTTCTGATGCTCACTCTAAAAGAAATATTTTAAGCAAACCATAAAAGTGGGCTTGACCCTTCCATGGGACCATCATAAATCAATTGTTAAAGCAAGGGTGAAAACTGGGGAGGAGGTCAGAGGTGGGAGAGAGGCCACAGAGAAAGGACAGTGTGAGAAACTAGAGCCAAACCAGGGAAGAGAATAGGGCAATCTTTTGGTTGAGCAGCATCATTAATTCAGAAATTGTGTTTATGCTGCTTAGAACTGTACACTAATGAAATTACAGCCATATGAAAACTTCCCACAGCAGAACTTAAAACCTAGGGTTGTTTTAGCACTGAGGCTCCTGTTCAGCAACAGGTCGATTGAAACTTGCTTAAAAGTCAGTGTCAATCTACCCTAAGTCCTTGGGAAAGTTCCTCCGAATATACAGGAAAGTTTGTGCCACTGTTTCCCGTGTGTCATTAAATGATACACCTTTAGATGTGCGGGTGGTATTCAGACATAAATATCTAACTCATGGTGTCTCGAAGCATGTCAGTTTTACCATATTCTGAGAAAGGCAGCCCTTAACTTTTTGCCAAATTGATCTTACACTCGCAAGAAAAGGCTTCGTGATAACCCCTTCATTAGGAGAAAAGAATATAGAATAACAAGTTAGAGTGTTGACTAATCTAAAAAATAAAAACTTTTGCAGAAAATTTTGTATCAAATGTAGAGTTTGAATGATCTATATGTCTAGTCATTTGTTTCCTTCGGGTGGAATCAAGTTTGAAGCCCAGACAATTAAAGTGATTCACATTTAAATGAAAGGTGGCTCGATTGATTTGTAACGACACAATTTATTTGGTAATAATGACATTCCTTGCGTTTGGCCAAGAAAACAAAGGTTGATTTATTTCCTAATAACAAAGACAAATGGCCCTTCTGCTCCAACCTCTTCCTTATTCTCAGTGGTTTAGGGGAAGGTTGTCAGTGGACTCTGCTCTGTTCTCTCTCTTGCTGGAGGAGGATTCTAGGCAAAATCTTTTAGAAACATGCCTGGAAAAGTCCCAGTAATGGAAACCAGACAGTTGTACACACACCTGAAAGTTTTAAAGAGTGTGCTTTTTTTTCTGCTTGGTATCAAAAACAAAGGATTGTGCTAGAAAAATTACACACCTTATACAGAGCACCTTAATGTTGTCATTTGCAAAGATACAGCTCTAGTTAACATATGTTGTTGAGAGTAATCTTAGAAGACTCAGATAAATAGGGGTAAATATAACAATGGCATCATTATTAAAATGATAATGCTCATATTTTTAAAAATTATCCTTTAAAAATGGTCCAATGTTTTATGCAAGTGTTTCACTATAAATATGAATTTTAAATGCAACTACAAGCACAACTGGGAATTGTCTATTTAAGCTTAATAAGTAATGATAAAAAATAAAATGAAGACAAATAGATAAATAAAATAAATCAATTTTTAGTAAATATGTGGTTCTATTTTTATGTGATAGACTCACAGCATTAAGCTTGTTTAAAACAAGTTTTCTATTTTATTTTAATATGTTTTTAAATGTTCAGAGAAAGCAGTGTGGTTACTTGGGACCTTTAAGAAACAAAGTCCTTGAGTGACTTAGAGAATTTCCTGGGGCCAGCTAAACAGAGTCCGCTTTTCTAGTGTGAGGGAGACCCTGGCCAGGGAAAAAGAGGTCAAGAAAAGCAAGTGAGTTGGAATAGTAACCTAGTGAGGTTCACAGAAGATCTTTCTCCTGAGAAGGAAAAGTGCAGTAATGAGAAATGTAAAGAGGACTGTATAACCCTTATGTTTATTCCTCTCTGAAAACAGAGAAACGTTTCCATTTTGATACTGAGAGGTGGCTGGAAACTGATACAGGTAGCTGTTAGAAGAGCTGAAAGAAGAACCAAGGCAGCAAATTGCTCCTTGCTTTCCAATGCAACATTCATGCATTCAGCAAACAAGCCCCTACTATGTGCCAAAGGTGCTGGAACAGGTGACCAAAGGGAAAGTGAAAGCACACTTGTGACGGTGATGGGAGCTGAGGAGAAGGTAAATAGAGCAATGCCACAGAGCAGGAAGAGTGAAACTCAGAGGTCTACAGTCAGACAGGTGACCTATGTGAAAAGGTGGCAGGGGAGGCCTCATAGAAGGAAGCCTGCTATTTAGCTCAAGCAAAGAACATTTTAAGAGAAAAAGCTTTAGCTTGGGCAACATGGTGAGACCATGGCTCTACAAAAAATACAAATATTAGTCTGGTGTGGTAGCACATACCTGTAGTCCCAGCTACTTGGGAGGCTGCAGTGGGAGGATCACCTGAACCCAGGAGGTAGAGGTTGCAGTGACCCATAATTGCACCACTGGACTCCAGACTGGGTGACAGCGTGAGATCTCATCTAAAAAACAACAACAAAAAAGAAGTTAAAAAAATCAGAGAGGTTTAGTGTACATTGAACAGTCAAATGCATGACTAAAATTCATAAGCAATAGTAAGTGCTAAGATATTGTCATTTGAGCGTCAGGTTAATTTCAATGAAAGAAATAAGGATAATGCATTAGACCTTAAGTCCTTTTTCATTCTTTTGGTTTTATACTCTAACTCCCGTTCCTTCCTTCCTCCCTCCCTGCTGGAGACAATCACTGTCATGGCTTTGGTGTTATTCTTTCAGTCTTTGTTGCTACATGCAGCACTGCTTTGTGTTTTTAAAATGTATGTAAATAACATCATTCCATATGTAAAATTCTGTTATTTGCTTTTTTATTCTGCAGTATGTTTTGAGAGTTATCTATGTTAATTTTTATGGATCTGATTCATTCATTTTGTTGGCCATGCAATATTCCCCTATATATCATAAGTTATTCTGATTAATGAGAATTTGAATTTTTAACAAATTCTACTGTCACACACCATGCCTCACTCAACATTTATGTATATGTCTCCTTGTGCACAGATGCAAGGGTTTCCTTAAGGATTATACCTAGAAGTAGAATTGCTAGATGGATATAGGATATTGGGTAGGCACCAGATATTCCAGATACTGCATTCCAAAGTGATTGGACACATTTGTAGTCACTTTAGAAGTGTGAGGCTTCTCCTTAACCCCATGCTTGCCAGCATCTGATGTCATACATCAATTTTATTGTTACCAAATGATATATTTTTTTTACATTGTCATATAAAAACTATATTATTTCTTTGATTACCAGTGAGGTAAAATGATATTCCATACATTTATTGGTCATTTGGTTCTTCTGTTTTGTGAATTCCCTGCTTCTATCCTTTGTTGAATTGTCTATCAGAGTTTTTACATTTATCCTTATTACTTTGTATCAGTTATTTACACTTTCTGGATTCTGAGATTATATGTACACATACACACACAATATATGCACAGACACATATATGCACATATCTGTATATAAAATTCTACTAAGCACATAAAAGAAGATGTAGATTAATGGAAAAAAATTAAGTCCTTGGAGGAAAAAAAATAATATTTTAAAGACGTAAATCATCCTCAAATTAATCTATTAATTCAAGAAAATTGTAATAAAACTTCAAACAACACTTTTTTGTAGCATGTGACATGAATCTACATATTAGAGTAAAAAGAAAAGAACAACTAAGACAACCATTAAAAACTGAGAAAGGACAGGAAGCATGTTCTATAAAGAGACAAGAATTATTGTAAATTACAGTTACATATAACTGTAATTAACATAAGTACAATATATGCACATAAATTAGTAGACTATATATATACATACACACAATATACACACAATACGTGTGTGTGTGTGAATATATATCAGTTTATATCTGATCTATACTCAAGATATAATTGAGGCCTCGTCCGTCGATACTGTGGGAGATTGGTTCCAGAACTTCTCATTGCTACCAAAATCTGAGGATGCTCAAGTCTCTGATATAAAATGATGTATGTAGTATTTGCATATAATTTATGCACATGCTCCAATATATTTTAAATTATCTCTACATTACTCATAATACATAATTCAGTATAAATGCTATGTAGATACTTGTTATGTTGTATTGTTTAGGGAATAATTACAAGAAGAAAAAGTCTGTACAAGTTCAGTACAGATATAATTCTTTTTCAAACATTTTCAATTTGTGCTTTGTTGAATCCATGGATGCAGAGTCCATGGATATGAAGGGCCGGCTGTACTAGCATATGTGTATTCAGTAAGGTGAGCAACCACAAACTTAACATACAGATAAAGTTAATAGCATTAATTTATATATGTAGTAATCAACCAGCCAGAAGATATAATTGAGGCCTCATTCGCAAGGCAACCTAAACATACAAAATATTCAGAAATATGTGCTTTCTTAGGCAGCACATATACTAAAATTGGAACGATACAGAGAAGATTAGCATGGCCCATGTGCAAGGATGATGCGCAAATTCGTGAAGCGTTCCATATTTATGAAAAAAGATACTCAGAAATTATTGAGAAATACTGATTAATTTAAAAATTCTACTAAGTACATAAAAGAAGACCTTGATTAATGGGAAAAAAATCAAGTCCTTAGAAAAGAAAATAACATTCTAAAGATGCAAACTATCCTTATATTAATCTATTAATTTAATAAAATTCTAATAAAAATTCAGGCAACATTTGTTTTGTAGCACGGGCACAGAATCCACATAGAGTGAAAAGAAAATCAAGAGCAACTAAGACAACCTTTAAAAACAAAGAGGAGGTACCAGGCACCATGGCTCACACCTGTAATCCCAGCACTTTGGGAGGCCGAGATGGGCAGATCACCTGAGGTCAGGAGCGAGATCAGCCTGGCCAACATGGTGAAACCCCATTTCTTCTATGTAATCCCAGCTACTCAAGAGGCTGAGGCAGGAGAATAGATTGAACCCATGAAGTGGAGGTGGCAGTAAGCTGAGATCATGCCTCCACACTCCAGCCTGGGCAACAGAACAAGACTCCATCTCAATAAAACAAAAACAAACAAACAAACAGAAAGCTGAGAGAGGAGAGGAAGCATGTACTATGAGGAGACAAGAATTACTGTAAATTGCAGTAATGATATCCATGTGCATTGGAAAAAGACACTGGTCCTCAGTGTATCACCACAAATTTTTGTTATAAAAACATTCCTGGATTCTATATTGATACTTATTTAGCCACTAAATAATTCATTCTGTAATTTTAAAGTCAAATTTTAAAGAGCAGTTTTAGATTCACAGCAACACTTACTGAAAGGTACAGAGTTTCCAAATACCCGGCCCCCTATAAATGCTCAGCTGCCCCCATTATTCACATCCCCCACTAGAGTGGTGCGTTTGATACAATTCATGAGCCTACATCATTATCATTCTTTAATTTTTAATAAACAATTCTACTTTAAGGGGAGAAAGAAGCATCACAGTCTGGCTGATATCTTAAAATTTCTAAGACACAGGAAGAGCCACTGCTCTCTTGAACCAAGAAAAAAAACATCTTTTAGCAGCTGACTCAAAAATGCAGGAGGAATTAACTAACTTCTCTAGGGCTATTTCCTTACATGTGACAGCAGGTTTTACATGAAGATATTACACTCAAAGAATCATACAAAAATATGATGGAATTTTTTTTTCAAATCTCTACTACAAACTAGGTGTTACCAACTCCATTGAACAGATAAGAAAGCAGAGGCTCAACAAGGTAAGACACTTTCCCCAGAACACAAGGAGAAAGGGCAGAATCGGAACTACCAGTTAGGTCTAGAAGACTCCAACCCTACCCCCGCCATCTTGCTTCATGCCCACTGTCTACTCCACTTACATTGACCCTGGGCTTACTTGGAGAGTTGCAGCCATTTGATGACTTGGAGTTCCATAAGACTGGGATTCAAGAGGTACAGAATACAAATCCCTAGAA